GGCCTTGAAAATTGTTTACATATTGTACCTCTTTATTTTGCTCATCATAGCCATCATTTTGAAACCCATCACAATCATCGTCAAATTGTTTAGAATTCCCTTGGTTTTGTTGCCTTCTTTGCCTTCTCTTGTTGACAAGCATATTCACACCCTCCATGGCATTCACTTGGCGAGGATTTTGGACTTGTTGCAACTGTGCCTTACCCAATTGGTTAATAGTAGTTGTCAACTCCGCTATAGCCTGTCCATGGTCATGTAGTTCCTTATGCAAATGAATAACCGTAGGGTCACCTTGGGAACATTGGCCCTACTTTGCCATGCAGAGGATGTATCCGCCATCTCATCAAGAATCTCACAAGCTTTGTCATAAGACAACTTCATGAAATTACCCCTAGCCAATTGGTTGACTATGCATTGATTTGTAGTATTGATGCCCCGATAGAAGGTTTGTTGTATCATCGGCTCCGTCATATCATTATTGGGGCATTCCTTCACCATCGTTCTAAACCACTCCCAAATCTCATGCAAAGGATCTGTGGGTTCTTTTTTGAAGGCCAATATCTCATCTCGAAGTTCCTCCATGTGCCCGGGTGAGAAAAATTTAGCAATAAACTTATCTGCCAACTCATCCCAAGTTGTGATGGAATGGTTGGGGAGTCTCTCTAGCCAATCCAATGCTTTCCCCCGAAGTGAGAAGGGGAAAAGCCTCAACCTAATAGCATCCTTGGACACATTCGCTGCTTGGTACCCCAATCCACGAACCCCTTGAGATGTTTGTAGGCATTTTGATCCGCAGCGCCCGTGAAATACCCACGCTGCTCAAGTACAGTCAACATCACATTGGTTATCTGAAAATTTCCCGCCCGGATTCTTGGAGGGACAATAACACTTGCATAGCCTTGGTTCGGTAGCACCCGAGGAACCGCTCTTGGAGGTGGCGGAGGAGGGTCTGAACGTTGTCATTAGCATTGGCCTGGCGGCCTTGTCGTGGTCCGGGAGGTACAAGAGGCACCTCATCGTCTCCAATTTCTTCAACCTCCTCCCCTGCAAGCACATTTCCAAGAGGGTCATTTGCATTTAAAGCCATTTTGGTACCTGTAGTATTGACACACACAAATTAGTAACAAAGAAGGAAAGAAGAACAACACACAAAACTAACTAAATAGATAGCCAAAATTGTTAGCTCCCCGGAAATGGCGCCAAAACGTGATCGCAGCCAACTCCGCACTACTAAAAAGTAGCAAGAGAGGGTCGCAATAGCTTTTACCCGATTTTGGGTCGGGATCGAATCCATAGAGAGCTAGGATTGGAATCGAGTATCTATCTAGTTTAGGATTGCGTATGTGTTCTTAATTAGTCTTCTATTCATTTTTGGTTTTTTCTTTATATTCTACTATGATCAAACTACAAATTATAATTGCAACTGAATTAGACTAAGAGTAAATTGCTACAAGTTGTATCTAATGGTTTAAAAGGCACTAGGGTAGTGACTTTCACCTAGGTGGCTAATTGACGGGTAATTGCATCTAAAGCACGATTGACATGATTGGGGAAATATGTTATAACCGTTGCTCGATACTGCCCACTCTACACCTCTCGGTAGAAAGAGTGGTTTTGCCCAATTGACTCTCTCAAGACCAATTAGGTATGCATATTTGCCCAAGCAACAAGGGTTCAAGTCGGGTAATTACTCTCTCGAGGTTTAACCCTTTAATTGGGACTATCAAATCTCTTGAGTCCATGACAATTCCTTGTTGAGTCAATTTTGAAGACTTAGGCTCTCTTTCTCAAGAAGAGCCCAAGTCAACTTAGCACAAACTAATATTTGAAACCACTAATTCATAAATTAAACCATAAAATTGACCCAAATAACAAACACCCATGGTCAGTCTAACCTTAAATCACAACACCCATCAATTACAGGATTGAGCCACAACCCTAGCTAATGGGTCTAGCTACTCATGCTTGAAGAGAAAATCAGAGAAATAGATGAAGATAAAGACATATTAATTAATTACTAAAGTAAATACAAAGTTTCAATGATTAAAAATCACGTATAGATGCCTAAAATGCCTAAGAAATATCGTCTCACGAGCGCAGCTATAGTAGTGTAATATCTGATACCCTAAAAATGGAAAAATATTCTATTTATACTAAACTGGAAAAACTGGGCAAAATTGCCCCTGCGGGGCAGTGCGGACCGCACAAAATGGTGTGCGGCCGCACTAGGCTCTTGATTCTGAAAAATCAACTCTCTGAACCCAGGCTCCGCGGACCGCACAGAATGGACTGCGGCCGGGGAGGTATCTAGCGCGGTCCGCACAAACACGACCGCGGACCGCACAGGCTTAAACCTTGGCACTTGACATCTCTCTGAAGTTGCTTTCGCGGACCGCATAAAATGGTAGTGCGGCCGCGGTGTCTTCAGTGCGGGCCGCACAATATCTACTGCGGCCGCACTGCTTTGATGCCTTAAAATCCAGGTCTCTAAATCTCCCTAGTGCGGACCGCACAAAGTGTAGTGCGGCCGCACTAGGCCTGTTTGTCCTGAGTTGTCTTATTTTTGGTACTTGTGCAGGTTTCACTCCTTTTGAGCCGATCTTTGACATCTCGTCACTTTGTTGATCAAACCTGCAATCAAGCACAACTTATGAGCCTTTTGGGACTATTTTGTAAGAATTTATAATCAAAGCGTAAGAAAGAAGGAGCATGAAACACGTCAAAATCCCTAGTTATCAATGTTTTCATGAGTATTTTCCTGCGAGGCTGCTCATATGACTCATTGAGACCACTGAGAAATTGAAGTAGTCTCTGACGCTGCAAATGTTCAATGCAGACCTTTGATTTAGGACAATCACAGCTTGGATGGGGAACTAGGGCATCATACTCTGCCCAAAGCTCTTTCACTTTGGTGAAATAAGTTGCTACTGAGTCAGTTCCTTGTGAAACTGTGGAAATTTTCCTATGTAGCTGGAATATGCGCACATGATTCACCTTATCAAAGCGTTCCATCAGATCCTTCCAGACCAAACGAGCATTTGATGCGTACACAATCCCACTAAGCAGGTCCAACGATACCGTGTTCATAATCCAAAACAGAACAATTGCAGGTTTTCCAATCCTCATGCAATTCAGTCCTAAATTAGTCCTTTCTACCACGTACCAGTCACGAACCCAAGTTTTCACTTAGCTTGAAGTGCAATTTGCACGACCTTTGCCAAAGCCCATAATTTTCAGATCCTGTCAGTTTCACTGGAATTAGGATCGATCCGGGTGTATCAGAAGGATGAACATACAATGGATGTGTGTGATCAATTTTCTCTTCGATTTCATCATCGTTCCCCATTATCGCAGAACAAGGAAAATCGTAGTAGAGAAGAAATTGAACAAGAGCTAGACATAAAATTGATTACTGAAATCTCACAATGAGCGTATAACCCAGTCACTGCTCTGATACCATGTTAGTTTTCTTAGTCTGGAGCTCAATCTCAGAGTTCATCCATGGAGTAAGAAAGAAGATATTTTGGGAGAGAAAGTCACCATTGTATTGATTCTATATCGGAATGTATATGTACAGTAGCAACTTATAATTAATTCACTTAACGAACTAATAACCAACTAATGGTATAGCTCACATCCAGCTGTCAACTAACTACTAACCACTTAATTTATTAACTAACTACTAATCTCAACAAAATGCTTAGTTGGTACCTTGTAAGTGGAGCGTTAAGCCATGTCAATGTTAAGTGAAGAAGTGCTGTTCTTGATTGGTAAGTACTTACTCGTATTGGGTATTTACACAAAATCATATTAATTTATTGTAGTAAGTAATTTAATGATGTAACAATATATATCAACTTATCATAATTAAGTGTTAGAAGTCTATATATATATATACATATATCATGCAATTATAGTTTGATGTAATTAATGGGTTCGAGTAAGTTTACAGTTCTTGAATAGCGAAAAATAAAAAAAAAAAAAAAAATTAGGTTACTAGCTATGGACTCAGAAACAGGACCTTGAAAAATATTGCATTGTGAGAATTGTTTCTTCTAATAACTAACCATGGAATCTATTTCCATCTTACAACGTTTGATCTTTCTGTTTACTTTTTCAATACAAAATGATTTCAAAATACATCCACTAAATAGAATAGATGATCAATTCGATGTAAGGAGCTAGAATAAATCATAGGATTGTTCCATCAATGTGATTCTACGTAGTGGAAAGATATGTTAATCAATGTAGTTCTGTACTATATTTAGTATAGTTTAGTTAAATCATCATCCTGTATACTCCACGTCTCTCTCAGACCATTTACGTAAGCCAAGTTTTCATAGCTTACATATATCAAACGAATCTAATTTTAATATTTGATCTTATTAGGACCATTTCTAATCTCTATAAACGCTCTCCAACCTTGAGCATTTAAAATCCTACACTGTGTACAAGAATTTAAAATTGTACCCCATTTTTGAACTTTTTTTTGTTGCATTATTTAATTCTTTGTTTATTCAATGAATATATCCCCTACACTAAAATATACTATAGGAGAAAAGACTAGTTTTTATTATTTCGTTATACGTAAGAGCCAAGTGTCTAAGCATATGACCTCACATCAATTAATTCAGTATACTACAAACATATTCATGTTTGCCCCAAATGCTTAAAACATTTGTTGCTATTTTTAAACTTAATCTTTTATAAATTAAATCTAAAAATAGAAAGGGAACAGAATAGACATGCATGCAAAATTAAAAGCAGATGAAAGAAAAGAAGACTTGAATTCTTTTTCAAAGCCATCACGTTGACCATCCAGATACACTGCATTAAAACTTTGGTCTAAATAGAAGGTTCTTTTACACGTGGGAACATTTCTGGGCCCTAGGATATTCCACGTGGCAAATTCTCCACCTTCGAGTTTTCAAAACTAAGACCAAATCTTTTTGAACCTCTTTATAAGCGCCAAATTACTTACCCACCTTAGTCCATTCTGCATGAAATAAACATGGATGAAGAGTCAAGCCATGGCAGAAAAATGGACACTAAAAATGGTGGTGGCGGAGAGATAAAATATCGAGGCGTCCGAAGGCGGCCGTGGGGGAAATTCGCGGCGGAGATTCGCGACTCGGCTCGACAAGGGGCTCGGGTATGGCTCGGGACATATAACACAGCTGAAGATGCAGCAAGAGCTTATGATAGGGCAGCTTATTCAATGAGAGGTCATTTAGCTATACTTAATTTTCCTCAGGAATATAATTTACCTAGTAGCTCTTCACATTTTTATACTGGTTCTTCATCATCAAGGGAAGTTCTTGAATTTGAATGTTTGGATGATAAGTTGTTAGAGGAACTTCTTGATTGTGATGAGCAAAACAAGAGGAAATAAAGATGATGACTTCAAATGTTCTGGTCTATCTCTTACTCTATTTTCACGATGAAAATGTGAGCTTTTTAATTTCCTAAAATCACATTAATCTGTTCCTTGAGCCGAGGGTCTATCGGAAACAGTCTCTCTATCTGCACAAGATAGAGATAAGGTGTGCGTACATACTATTCTCCCCAGACTCTACTGTGGGATTACACTGAATTTTTTGTTGTTGTTGTTGTTGTTGTTGTTGTTGCCGCCTAAAATCACATTATTCTTAAGATGGGGTGGTTTGTTTTTTCTTTTGGGTTCCCTTTTTCTTTTTATTATTGTACCTTTTTTTTTAATTTTCTTTTTTGGGGATTTGGTTTTTGAATGAAGCAAGCAACCTGCGGTTGCAATGCTTGTAACGCTATTGTACTATCTGTACTTTGCAATGCAAATGATGAAGGGTCAAGAAAAGTCTTTGTGATCATAAATATTGCCATTTCTCTCAACAAATTTTTTGATGTTTAATTTCTTCCATTTTTGTCAGCTGTACTACTGACAAAAGAACCAAGTTGATAAAAACTTGAATTAGTAATGCATGGCTTAGTAATGCAAGCATTAGTTATACAGATATTATTTCTTATTTACTGTTTGGTGTGGTGTATTAAAATTATAATGAATTGCATAATTTTTAAGAAAAACAGTTGTTTACAAAAATGCCCTCCATATTCTCTAGCTTTAAGGGACTTTAAGGACAATTATGTCTTTAACCATACTAATGCACGCATTGATAGCCTTGGTATTACTAATGCCATGGTTTTCTATGCATTACTTATACATTGGATAATACCAAGTATGATGTATAACTAATACAAGTATTAATTATACACATGTTGAAAAAATGTACCAAACAAGGTATTAGTAATGCATAGAGCTAATGCTTGCATTATTTTTTCTAATACCTCCTACCAAACGACCCCAAATGTGTCTTAAACATTTATTTTGCTATTTATGTGTGTCAATTCTTTGCCACAACATGAATTATAAATGGCATTTGGACATATATCTGTGTATGCTAATGTCGTATTAAAGCTGCTGGACAATAATAGGGTGGGCATAAATTATAAATACCGAGAAATCTGAAAACCGGACTGGACTAAATATCGATTCTTTGGTATTCGGTACATTCTTCAAAAAATAAGTACACATATCAATATTTCAGTTCTTTAATTTGGTTTGGTATTTGGTATTAGAGTATCAATATTTCAATATTTCGGTTATATCAAAATACCGAACTTTATAAGTGTATATATTACAACTATATTTCGGTTTGGCTCAGGCCCTTGTTTAGCACTTATTGCTACTGCTCGTTAGTTAATATTGATGTTCCTTTAAAAAGACATAATTCCGTTAATGTATTAAATCAAAATCCTATCGAATCAAACAAGAAATATCTAACCGTACCGAACAACTTTGGTACGATATTTAATTAGTATATACAATTGATAAAATGAGTACCAAAATCTCAAACTGAAGTTTTTAAATATCGAACCGAAATACCGAATGTATACCCTACTGGACATGGCGAAAGCACGTACATCATCTTGGGCCTTCTTGTTAGAGATTCTCAGACAATTTGGCTTATGGGAAGCCTTTATTGATATAGAATGGAGGTTTTTGTGTCTGCAAAATAGTATTCTGTTGTTATAAGTCATGGACAAATGTAATACGAATATTTTACGAAGTAATTTTGGCTGAAATTAAACACAACTGTATTTGTAAAATAATTTTGTAGAAAATAAAATAACATAAACAGAAATATAAACAAAATACCAATTAATCCGAGCCCACTGAATTCACAGTGTTTCATTAAGGAATTTAATCCCCTCCTAGTACCCAAGGTTATGGATTATTTCCTCCCAGGATAGAACGAATTACACACTGGTGTAGTGGTATTTCAAACATCAGTGTTTCAGCGAACACAAAGTTCAGTAGCAAATCACACTTACTGTTGCTTTCTTTGAAGTTACAACAATGCAGAAGAAGGAGGAGAAACTCAGAAAATTGTATGGAAAATCTGAGAGAATGGACTTGTATTTATAACCAATGTTGGGCTGAAATCTGAAGAGGTACAACTCTTTAGAATGGCTGTTTATGCAAAACGGCCACAGCATAAATGCCATAATATAAATGGCTATTTACTCAACAATAAAGAGGGAAAATAAAGAGGGAAAATTGAAGATGGTAGTTAATTTTCTGTTACCAAAATAGAAAACGGAAAAATGGAAACGATTAGATTTAATATTAATATTTTGTTATTAAAACAAATATTTAATAACATTTCTGTTAATATTTACTATTAACAAACAAATTTGGTCCAAAGATTTAATCAATCAATCGTTTGACCAAATCCGAATCTGAATCCGAAGCCGAAGCCGAAGCCAAGCGAGCGACGACGGCGGCGCGAGGCTTGCCTTCTTCTCAACTCTTTAAGAGCTAGAAGAAGAGCAATTGCTTATATACCCATTAAAAACCTCTTTCTCTTCCAATATAGGACAATGTCCCTTTGTCGGGGGGGGGGGGGGGCTTAAAATTTTACTTAAAAATTTCATTTTCCTCCATTTCCCATTCACCCTCTTTTAAGCATTTAATATACTTAAAATCCAAACAATCCCCCACATGAATGGGGAATGGCTATATCACGGAAATATGCATGAAAAATTGTGTGATTCGCAAACAAGGATTAATTGCATCTGGATAAGTAGGTTTCCCTTTAAACTTTCCGTAGTGAACTTATGTCGGATATACTCGGTCAATCGGTAGATTTGATATCTTTGAACCGTCGAACTTTGGTGTATACCTAGACAACCATAAGTCATACAAGCAACCCTTAACCGTCTTTGGTTCTTATTGTTGTGTTCGTTTCAGCCATGAACACCGCCTGGTTTCATAAGTGCATAGAGAACTGGCCTTACAAATTCTCCTTGAAGCGGCTAGCACTTCACACTTATATAGGTGATTCCTAAACGTGTCATCCCATAGATACACTATTTGATATACCCCGTATCAAATTTAGAAATCATTAAAAGCCTTAATGCTTTATCCTTGGTACTGAACATTGTCTCATCACGAGAACAGACCAAATTTTAGTTGACAATGTTGAACCGTCATTAATGACTTTGTTTGATCTCCTTGAACCTAGATCTTGGAATCTCCAGTCTTCTAGGTAGAGTTACCGCCACAATGACTTGTTCTCGGCCATAGTCCTATTCTCCTTGATGATTTCTCAACTACCTCTCTAGTTAGGCCTTTCGTAAGTGGATCCGACATATTATCACTTGACTTTACATAGTCAATCATGATAATTCCTCTAGAGAGTAATTGCCTAACGGTCTTATGTCTTCGTCGTATATGACGAGATTAACCGTTATACATAATGCTCCCAGCCCTTCCAATTGTCGCTTGACTATCACAATGTATGCATATTGGTGCCAACGGTTTGCGCCAAAATGGAATGTCTTCCCAGAAATTCCGGAGCCATTCAGCTTCTTCACCGGCTTTATCTAAGGCTATGAATTCAGCCTCCATTGTAGAGCAAGCAATACAAGTTTGTTTGGATGACTTCCGAGATACCGCTCCTCCACCGATAGTGAACACATATCCACTTGTGGACTTTGAATCAGCTGAACCGGTGATCCAATTTGCATCACAGTATCCCTCAATCACCGCAGGATATTTACTGTAGTGCAAAGCAAAGCCCTGGGTATGTTCTAAATATCCCAAAACTCGTTTCATTGCCATCCAATGAGATTGACCTGGATTGCTCGTGTATCGACTTAATTTACTTATAGCACAAGCTATATCTGGTCGTGTACAATTCATGATGTACATTAAGCATCCTAACACACGAGTATAATCCAATTGTGATATGCTTTGGCCTTTGTTCTTTGATAATGTAAGATTCACGTCAATTGGAGTCTTTGCAACTTTAAACCCTAAGTGCTTGAATTTTTCAAGTACTGTCTTAATATAATGAGATTGTGACAATGCGAGACCCTGAGGAGTCTTATGGATCTTGATTCCCAGAATTAAATCAGCAACTCCCAAGTCTTTCATATCAAACTTGCTAGTTAGCATACGCTTAGTAGCATTTATGTTGGCAATGTCATTACTCATTATCAGCATATCGTCCACATATAAGCAAACAATGACTATGTTATTTGGAACATTTTTAATGTACACACATTTATCACATTCATTTATCTTAAAATCATTTGACAACATTGTTTGGTCAAATTTCGCATGTCATTGTTTGGGTGCTTGTTTTAGTCCGTAAAGGGACTTAACAAGTCTATATACCTTCTTTTCTTTACTTGGAACCACAAGCCCTTCAGGTTGTTCCATGTAGATTTCTTCCTCCAACTCTCCATTTAAGAAGGCTGTCTTAACATCCATTTGATGAATTTTAAGACCATACACTGCAGCTAATGCTACTAACATCCGTATGGACGCAATTCTTGTAACTGGAGAGTATGTATCAAAGTAGTCAAGACCTTCTCGTTGTCTATACCCTTTGACTAAGTCTTACCTTATATTTATCAATAGTTCCATCATCTTTCATTTTTCTCTTAAAAATCCATTTAGAACCCAAAGGTTTATTTCCAAGAGGAAGATCAAGCAATTCCCATGTATGGTTGTTCAATATGGATTTTATTTCACTATTGACTGCCTCTTTCCAAAATAATGATTCTGAAGAAGACATCGCTTCTTTAAATGTTCGAGGTTCATTCTCTAATAAGAAAGTCACAAAATCTGGTCCAAATAAAGTAGACGTTCTTTGATGTTTACTACGTCTTGGATCCTCCTGATTAAATGTACTTTCTTTTGTTTCTTCCCGAGGTCGTTTAGATCCTTCACCAATCGACTCACATTCTTTTTTATACGGATATATATTTTCAAAAAACTCAGCATTATCAGATTCTATAACCGTATTATTATGAAGGTCGGGATTTTCTAATTTATGAACCAGAAATCGATATGCTTTACTATTGGTCTCATATCTCTGTGAAAACACAATCAACGGTTTTCGGTCCTATTTTTACCCTTTTGGGGTTTTGGAACTTGCACTTTTGCCAAACACCCCCACACTTTAAAATAATTCAAGTTGGGCTTCCTTCCTTTCCATTTTTCATATGGAATGGATTGTGTTTTGCTATGGGATACTCGTTTTAGTATTCGGTTAGAAGTAAGAACGGCTTCCCCCAACAAGTTCTGTGGCAAATCAGATATCAACAATGCGCTCATTATCTTCTTTAATGAACGATTCTTTCTTTCCGCAATCCCATTGGATTGGGGAGTGTAAGAGGCCGTTGTTTGACGAATAATTCTATATTCTAAGCATATTTGTTCAAAAGGAGATTCATATTCACCACCCCTATCACTTCTTATCATTTTGATTTTCTTGTTGAGTTGCGTTTCAACTTCATTTTTG